TACAACACAGAATACAAAGTTTATAGTGGTCACTTAATATTTTTAATTACAGGTATTGCACTGTAAAAAAAAAAAAAAAAAAAAAGTATTTTTCAATTCACCTCATACAAGTACTGTCCTGCTATTGGTTGTGAAAGTGCAACTTACAAATGTAGATTTTTTTTTTTTTTTTTGGTTTACATAACTGCACTCAGAAACTGAACAATGTAAAATCTTAGCACCTGCAAGTCCACTCAGTCCTGCTTCTTGTTCAGCCAATTGCTCAGACAAACAAGTTTGTTTGCATTTGCAGAAGATAATGCTGCCTGCTTCTTGTTTTCATCAGCTGAAAGCGAGAACAGACGTTCTTGTGGCACTGTTGTAGCCGGCGTTGCGAGATATTTATGTGCCAGATGCACTAAAGATTCATATGTCCCTTCATGCTTCAATCACCATTCCAGGGGACATGCGTTCATGCTGATGACTGGTTCCGCTTGATAACAATCCAAAGCAGTGCAGACCGACGCATGTTCGTTTTCATTATCTGAGTCAGATGCCATCAGCAGATTTTCTTTTTTGGTGGTTTGGGTTCTGTAGTTTCTGCATTGGAGTATTGCTCTTTTAAGATGTCTGAAGGCATTCTCCACACCTTGTCCCTCTCAGATTTTGGAAGGCATTTCAGATTCTTAAACCTTGGGTTGAGTGCTCTAGCGATCTTTAGAAAACTCACATTGGTACTTTCTTTGTGAAATCTGTAGTGAAAGTGTTCTTAAAATTAACAACATGCGCTGAGTCATTATCTGAGACCTGCCATATATTTCATGTTATAGCAAATTTGGGTAAAACAGCAGGGGACATACAATTTTCCCACAAGGAGTTCAGTCACAAATTTAACACGCTTTTTTTTTTTTAACGAATGTCATCAGAATGGAAGCATGTCCTATGGAATAGTGGCCAAAGCATGACTGAGGGGATTTGTAGGCACTAAAGTTTTACATTGTTTTGAGTGCAGTCATGTACCCAAAAAAATCTACATTTGTAAGTTGCACTTTCACAACCAATTGCATGACTGTACTTGTATGAGGTGAATTGAAAAATACTATTTATTTTGTTTCATTTTTACAGTGAAAGTATTTGATTTGTTACAACACAGAATACAATATATATGAAAATGTAGAAAAACATCCAAAATATTTAATAAATTTCAGTTGGTATTGTTTAACAGTATGATTAAAGCTACAATTAATCGCGATTAATTTTTTTGAGTTAATCAATGAGTTAACTGCAATTAATGGACAGTCCTACTGCATAGTAAAGTTTCAAAACTGTATTAAGTCAATGTTCAGTTGCAGACTTTTGAAAGACCAACCATAACGTTTTGTTCAGAGTTACGAACAATCTCTGTTTCTGAGGTGTTCATAACTGAGATTCTACTGTCTTTTATAAGAAAGTAGTTCCTTGTAGCTGAGAATCTCTGGCCAAGTTCTAACTCTAAGAGTACTAGAATCATATATGCTAAACTTTGCAGCAGCTAATAACTGCAGCCTGGGTATTCTGCAGCTGCAGAGTTTATGCCGTATCCACCCCTAGAAAGAGGGTGTGATATGAACCTAGTTTAATAAAGATGAATCCATTCCCAGTCCAAAAATACTCAATTGTCTTAAGTGTAAAAACCCCAAACCATTTTCTGCTCCTTTGTGGCAGTGTAAAGCTCCATATGTCCCACCCAAAACCTCTAGGTTCCCCCTAGAAATTTGTACAATGCAATTACTCATTTGAAGAACAAAATTTTATGTCACAGTGAAAATTTGCACCAAAAATAAGGTGAATTTAATGTAAAAGTAGATCAGGTTACTGATTATATTGTCATCTAAGAGAATGAAAACCATCAATTTTCTAATTTAACTCTGCAGCATCAGAGTGTGTTAAAAAGCAGAGGTCCTTTTTTTCCCCAGATTTTATTTCTAGCTTGCCACAAGAAATATGTGATCGTGACTCTAAACATTTTTTACTCTGTTGGATGGTTCCACTCATTTCGTCTGTGGCTGCCTCATTGGTAACCTGTCTTCTTTCCCTTTTTTTTTTTCTGCCACAATGAAGCTTTTGACTCTCTTGCATATAAGGCAGAACAATACAACTTCATAGTATTATCTGCTTTATATTGATTCTCAGAGAAGCGGAGTTGATAGGAGATGCCAAAGAATTATTGTCTTTGCCATATGTTATTGCTCAGATTCTTCAGTTGCCCTATATGCCCTGTTGGAACTCTGTCAAATAGCATACCAGCCTATCCAGTGACAAATGTGATGTGCAGTGGACATATCCATGCTTATGAAGAGCTCCTGTCCTTAAACATGATGTGGTCTAGGTCAGGGTCTGATTCTTAAGAAGCTCCATTGACTTTTCATCTGCTGCCCCCTATTACTACTTGTGGTGTGTCTCAGCTTCCTCCTATGCTCTAGGTTTCTTCTCTACTCTTTCTAGAGTGCCTGCCTTCTTTGGAATCTTTTGGTCTTGGTTAGCCTGCATCAGCTCTATCATACTCACTGTCTATGGAGTTTGGGCCAACTTCATTAGTAGGGCACCAATAGCACTGTATTTGTTCTCCATCACTGCTATGATTGGCACCTTAAGATGGACTGCTAGCTCTTCATCCTTCTGGGCTTTCCCTCAGGTGGTCATTTTGTTCCTGAGCAATTGTTAAGGGGCAAATTTTCTAGAATTACCAGTTGTCTTCACCACCAGTACTGCCACCATTCATCATTCGCTTGGGTTGTAAGCAAGTGATGTCCAAGAGGGATCTGGATGTTGTATGATTAAATTTACATAATCTATATGGGACCTTTTACTGTTTCCAGTTCTGGAGATTTTAAGCTTTACCCCCCCCCCCATCCCTGGCCCTCAGCAAGGTGGACATTTGGTCCTCTTTTTGCTAAGAGCTCCCTGCTTTCTCGTTGTCTGACTAGCTGAGAACCCTGCTTTTATACAAACCTTTTGAACACAGTCTCTGGTAGCTGCCATTTACACAGGGCAGAGAGAAGCAGCTGCAGCGCTAAGAGTCATTTTAATTCTCACTATAACTTATTTTTCAGCTATTAAGGACTGTTTTCCCTTTTCCCTTATTTCAGGGGAAGTGTTACATTCTCACAACATAGTATTTACTTTACTTTTATTTGCACTGATTACTTGTTTTAAGTTAGCAACATACTCAGCACTGTACAGGACAAAAATAAAGACAATGCCTGTACTGAAGAGTATAATCTAAAATATATTGGGCTACAATGTGGGGAATTTTTAAATAAAAAGTTTGATCATAATCATTTTGATCGTGCCGCAAAATGTAGTGGGTACTTTGCTGTACGAACAGCCCTAGTCCTTGCTCCTAAGAATAGTGATGCAATGAGTGCATGTATCAAATAGTAGGAAGATCTGGGGTAAGGAAGGAGAAGCAAAAAGATCCTGATTACACAGGTGAGGCACGTGCCTTGGTGGGTCAATTAAGAAGAAATGTAACCTAATGATCTTGTGCTCACCTGTATTACACAGGCTACAAAGGAATCTAATAAAGATGAAGTGATGTCACTCACCACTGACTCACAATATAAGAATTGTGCACAAAGCCTGAGAAACAGATTGGGAATGGAAGGGAATAGGGATAAAACAGCCAATCCTGCATTGCCAGAGACAACACTTTCAGCCTTCGACTGTCACAAAGTTGCAGCCCAGCACAACCACTCAGTCAGTCAAAACCAAGAAAACTTTCTGATCTGCCTTCCTCACGTGTTACCAGATTTCACGTTCTGCCGTCCTCCCAGTCTACATTCTCACTTGTTGCTGTAACGCCTGACATTCCCTGTTGCTAGAGGCCTGAACTGTCACATGCATGTGACAACAATTAACAGCTAATTTTAGTCCCTTGTGGCACATGTGGTTGCACAAGGAGAACCTTTGTAGCCTTCAATCTTGTCATAAATATGGTGTAATTCCTGGTTGGTTTGATTACAAATGGTGCCCTTTAAGCAGTCTTGCATGTTCTTGGAAATATGGTGGTGATCAACTCTGACTATTAACAGGTTTGTATTTGCTTTTTAAAACCATATCATACATTGAAATAATCACATGAATTTAAAATAAATACTTTGCCCTTGTCTCTTGCTTTCTGTTTGAGACTGAGTACTTCACAGACATTAATGAATTAAGCTTCTATTCTGTTCTATACAGGTTCTTAAACTGAGTTCATCACCATAGCATCCAAGCATCCTGTAACAAGACATCTTGAAGGCTTCTGTGCTCCAACCTCTGGCATCTCATTGACCACATTATCATCAGGAGAAGAGACAGACAGGATGTTTGAATGACAAAGGCCATGAGAAGTGCAGAATGTTGAGGTGATCACAGGCTTATAGTCTCAAAGCTGAATATCCGGCTACATCCTAGTAGGCAACCACCAGGTGGTAAGGCATCCAAAAAGCTTAATGTCTCCTATAGACTGAAACAGGAGAATGTGGAACAGATTTTTCTTGAACTGCGCAGCCAACTTGTAACAATTGATGCAAACTCTAATAACAAGGAAAATTGGACATCCTTTAGAGAGACTGTGTACTTGGCTGCATCCAATACCCTCGGTTCCATCACATGTGAACATCAAACTTGGCTTGATGAAAATGATACTGACGTAGTGAGACTGTTGAATGAGAAACATTTGACTCCAGAAGGCCTGTTTAGGAGACGCACTTCAACATCTAAGAGGGTAGCCTTCAACAACATCAAGAGGACTGTCCAACGTAAACTTAGAGAGATGCAAAACTCATGGCTGAGTAACAAGGCAGATGAGATTCAATCCTACAGACAGAAATGACGTGAAATACTTCTATGATGCTCTGAGGACAATCTACGGGCCATGGTCATTGGGAACATCTCCAGTACTGATTGATTAGTGTGGTACCATCAGCACTGATAAAGAAAAGATGCTGCAAAGGTGAGCCGAACACTTTAACCACATCCTCTATAAATAATAATCTATTAGTGAGGAGGCAATTGATTGCCCCAGATCAATATCAACATACCTCTTGCTGATCTCCCAATGCTGATTGAAACTGTGAAAGTGATTGAGCAGATGCTATACCAGCAGAAGTCTAAAAGGCCAGAGGCTCACACATGACTCTGAAATTGACTGAATTTTTCCAATCAATGTGGAGTCAAGGAACTATATCCCAGGAGTACAAGGATGCATCCATCGTCCACTTGTATAAACAGAAAGACAATAGACAATCCTATAACCACTATTGGGGCATCTCACTGTTGTCAGTAGCCAGCAAAATTCTCTTCAGAATTCTGCTGAATTGCCTTGTGCAATACATTGAAGTGTTCCTGCCTGAGAGTCAGCGTGGCTTCAGGAAAGGATGCAGGACTATAGATATGGTATTTGCAGCTTGTCAACTTCAGGAGAGATGCCAGGAACAGAACTCCAACCTGTACATGACTTTCATTGACCTGACAAAAGCATTTGATACAGTCAGTCAGGAGGGCCTTTGGAAGAACATGGCAAAATTTGGTTGCCCAGAGAAATTCATCGCAGTGGTTTGGCAATTCCATGATGGCATTCTCGCTCGCATTGTGAACGGTGGTGAGTCATCTGAACCATTCCCAGTCACCAATTCAGTCAAGTAGGGCTGCGTGTTGGCCTCAACTGTCTTCAGTATGATGCTTTCTGCCATGCTTACAGATGCCTTTCATGACTGTGACACTAGGATTGGCATCAGATACCGGACTAATGGCAAACTAGTCAATTTGAGGAGACTACAGGCAAAGACAAATGTAGAGGAAGTGACTGTTGGTGATCTTCTGTTTGCTGATGACTGTTCCCTGAATGCCAAATCTGAGTCCAACCTGCGCTGGAGTATGGACTATTTCTCCACTCCTGACAACTTTGGTCTCTCAATTATCAGGAAGCCAGAAGTGATGTGTTTTGGCCTGCACCTTACGTAGAGCCTACTATCACTATGAATGGTCAAACCCTCCAGGCAGTGAAGTAGGTGAACTTGTCCAACAGTACACCGTCATGTGCACTTCACAATGATGATGAAACCAATGCCAGAATTGCCAAAGCAAGTGTGGCCTTTGGCAGACTACGTGTAATTGTGTGGGAGTGTAGAGGCAATAGTCAACAAACAAATCTGAAAGTCTACAAAGACATTGCATTGCCAACTCTGATGTAAAACCTGGATGGTGTACAGATGCCAGTCCTGTGAAGCTGAATCACTTTCACATGGTCTGTTTGAAGAAACTGATGAGGATAAGACTGCAAGACAAGGCTCTAGATACTGAGGTTTTCATGTGGGCATGCATTCCAAGCATCCATACTCTGATGAAATCACAGATGAGGTGGTGAGGTCATGTCACCAGAAGTCAGATGAGTGACTGCCAAAGAAGGTGTGTGTGGTGTGTTTTTAAAAAAAAAAAAAAAAAAAAAAGGGCAAGCTAAAGGAGGAAAATCGCTTTCAGGG